GCAGCTCTCCATGTGCCTGAGGCATTGCCTGCCTTCTCTTGCAGAAACCATGGCCAGTGTTTGGGAAGGTGACTCTGCAGAGGTTTGAGGCTGGACAGGCTGTTTTCCTGAGATTTATGAGCAGCATGAGCAGAACAGAAGATGACTGCAAGGACTGTCACAGCAAGTCCTAGGGTGATGCCTTCTGCTCACATGAGCCCAAGGGAGTTTGACTTGCAGCAGCGCCCAAACCCCATACTGAGGGCTCTCCCAAGGTCCTAATGGGGAAGGGCTCTGCTATCCTCCAGGCTGATGGCACATTGTTCTCAGCTCATGAGCTATCTGGCTGCTTGTGGCTCAGTAGGAGAAGCCCCTGGTCTGGGTTTGCTCACAAGCTCAGGAAATGGGCAGCTCTGCTAATAGGAAGGAATTTTGCCCAACAGCAGACTGGCAAATCCCCCTGGGCCATTGTGGGTAACTTACTGTCCACTGCTCTTCCAGCACCACAATACAACTGGTGCTTTGCTGTTACAGTGAGCTCAGGGGCACCCTGTGTCTCTCTTCCCCGGGACCTTGTGACTCTGATCAAGATAACCCCTGGACCCATCCTTCCTGCCCCAACAGGGTTGGCAGAGAGCCAGGAAAGCCCACCCTGTCCAAAATCTATATAGACCCCTGACATTTCCTGTTCGCTCTCTTTCGCTCCGCTCTCCCATGGACATCACAGAATAAAGAGAGCTGTACCAGCATATCCTGGGGTGAGAGCCTCTTTTGAATACCTATACCCCTCTCCTGATATTCCTCCCCTCACAGCCCCTTATCTCTGAGCTAGTCGGATTATTCGGGGGCTGCGTGAGGGGGGGAAACTACACCCTGCCTCTGCAGTCAGGAAGGTTTTTTTTCCCCTTGCGTCACAGTGACATGGTTCCAGGATTTGGGAGTGTTGTCTTCCTCTTAAGTCCTAATCATGGAATCCTTGCCAGAGCATCTGTGGGTTGTTTTGAGTAAGGATCTGCCCACCATTCTTGTAGCACAAAGATACCACAGTGCTCAAATCCCAACAGAGCTGCCACTTTTCAGCTGTCCCTGTACTCCTTAGAGCTGCAGTTTTTTCCTTGATCTTGGTCTTTGTTTCATATGTGTGCTGCTCTGGGACTGGGAACCTTGTCCTGCAGCTGTGCCGTCAGCAGTGCAAGCACACAGTACTGCAATTCTGAGGCAAGTTTGGGAGGGGGAAAGGGAGAAACTTCAGGGGTGGCTTCTGTAGTAAGGTTCCAGAAGCTTGCCCCGTGTCAGACAGAGACAGCTCCAGCTGGCTCCAAGATAAGACCCACTAGCCAAGACAGAGACTGTCAGTGATGCTGGCAGGATTTCTGGGATAACATAGCTAAGGAGAAAAGAACTTCTGCAGTAACTATCCATGTATTATAGTAAAATCTTGAATGCCACTGCACATTATAACACATTTTCAGCTCTGGGATGTTTAAACAAATTTTACATGCTGCAGTGGAGTCCTTATGCCAGTGTGCAACGCCATAGTGAAGGTAAAGCAGAAGCAAAAGTCAGTCTTCAGCTGTACATTCCTCAGGGAGGCCTCCAACACACACAGTTCACGCTGAAGCATGAACTCTAGCCTTACCGAACAGCACTAATGGAACAAACAAATAGGAATGGCACAACCTCTCAATTAACTTCTCAAAAACTCCTTTTTAAGCATAAGAAGCAAGTTAGCAGATTTTGGCACCACAGTGAAAATGCAGAAATTAAGAAACCTTTTTAAACTCTTCAAAGATTCTCAGATGAAAGTCATTATCCTCTGTACAACTCATGCATCCACTGGCTGCATTCACAACAAGGCATATTTGCACAACAAATATAGTTATTTAATGAATATGGAAATTAAAACACAACAGTTGGTATTTACTATGCATTTTTTACATGAGCTACCATTGATCATTTTTGAAACATGTTTCTATTAAAGCTTGCTTGTATTGCTGCTCAGATTGTTTACCCAAAGAAATTTAACTCTTCAGGAAGCAGAGCAACATAGAGTGGAGTACCTGCTTCTTCTCTAGAGCTTTCACAGCCATCTGTAAAATATTGGCTCCCCTTTCAAAACCAGTTCAGGTTGCCTGAGAACTGGAGCCTGCTGCTATGTTAAACAACAGTCACCCTTCGGTTCCATTTTAAAACAGAGCATTTGTGACAGCTTCAGAAGTGATATACATGAATCTTGTTTGGGGTTCAACCCTATTGCACCCTGGTTATCCTATAGGACAAAACTTATTAATACTTAAACATAAGCATTAAGAATATCATGCATTTTACATAGAATGCTTTGGTTCTAACATGATTTCTTCATTGAATCATTGGCCAGCAAAGCAATTGCTTCCATCTTACCTAAATTATTCATGAGGCATGCTTCTGTAGAAATCATCAACTTAACTGGAAGAATCACTCAGCAGAACAACCCTGTCATATTTTATTTTTTCCCCTTTTTAATGTTCCATTGTTAATCAAAAGCACTGCATTTTTCTCCCAAGAAAGAAGTACTGTATGAAGAATTTATTCATGATCATGGATTACCTGCCACACATCAGGAGCAGAACCTTAGACCTGAAGATGGATAACCTGCTGGGCAGAGGACAAAGTTCCTAAGAATTAGTGAAGAAATACAAATAGGTAGATATTAGTAACATTTTTATATAAATAAAATTTGGTATAAGTAACTACTTGCCAAACATCTAATTTTATGAAACAGTAATTGTCTCAAAATAAAGGCACTAATATGACTTTTTAGATGAAATTATAAAGGAAATAAAAACCACCTGTTGATATTGAATAAATACAATTTATACAATTATTTCAGGAGGATTATATTTCATCATGAAAGCTGAAAACATATACAGCATGCAACTAGCTTTCCGTCTTCTGTGGTTGCTTCAGTAATTTTGGGGACAGAATATACTCAGTATTTTACAGGCAAAAAACCTGGTAACTAAAAATCTTCTAACTGTAAAACTTCCAGTGAATTTAATCCAAATCACTACAATATACTCCAAAATATCACAAAAGAAAAGTTCATATCTCTGAAAACGGGAGCACAAGACTTTTTTTTTAAATTATTTAATTCAACAAAATATAAAGATGAAGACTTCATCTAAAATGTTATGAAAATCCCTAAAATGTTATAAAATTCACATTACAATTTTTTCTGATTTCAAGGTGCTAGGAAGAGCAGATGCAAATCAAGAGTCAGAAACTCTTATTCTGTAACTCATACAGCTCTCCACATCTAATTCAATTCCTCTAACAATTTGTCCTGTGCTTCTGATTTCAGAACTATCTTTTAAAAAAGAACTGAAAATACTCAATTCCCTTTCCTCAAACTTCATTATCACTTTGACTTAGTACCATCTTTTCATACACACATTATGAAAACAGGAATAATTTAGAGCAATTTACATCTGAGGTCAACAATGCTGACAGTAAGTGAATGTTTCTTTCTTGATTATTAAATACACTTACATTTCTCTTGATGTCCTTAAAAAACTTAAAGAATACTTATCCTAAAGAAGAGGTTGCATCCATGCACAGATTCACTTTTAAAGCTGTGATATTCAGCCTTACAGTTTTGAGCGACACTACAGTCATGCCCCTTTCCCCCATCTTTGAAGTGATACATGTCTCTAGAGATAGAAAGACAGAACTGTTTTTCTATTCTCTGCAAGAGAAGGGCTGTGATTTTCCATGCATCTTGAGAAGGGCACACAAACAAGGACCTCCTGTTAGGAGCTCCTAGGTAAAATGTAAAATCTGACCCTTAAAAGTTTGCTTTCATATTTTGTCTGTTATTATGAGACAATACTGACTTTTTTTTTCCATTTCAGATAAATCCCTAGTAAACAGTAACTGCAACAGAAACCGATGTCACCTTTCTCATATCAAAAGCACATAATGCCCCAACAGTACCAGAATAGCTCTGCAGAATATCATCTGCAATTCCATAGTGACAACAGGGTCAAAAGGAAACATCACTGCTGTCTGAACAGGCAGGGAGGATTTAGTTTTGCAGGCTGAGGTGTAGGTTCAGCTTGCTGGACTAAAGAAACTCTCACTGATCAGAGGGAGGTAAGTGCTCCCCAGAGGGAAGAACTGTTGTCTGTCTGACAGGACACAGGTGAACAAAGCCAAGAGAATGATAATCTCACAACAATTTCAAGATAACTGAAGTACATATTTTATCTAATACAAATGCATGCTCAAAGAGCTGAAAGAAAGTGTCTTTGGATAAGGCAAGGGTTACAGACCATAACTGTTTATTGTTTTCAGCAAATACCTGACTACTAGCACCTTTCATAAACTAATCCATTATTGATACATTTCAGAATGAAACAGAATGACCTGTAAGATTCCAGTTATGTATAGCTCTATTCAACTCTCATGAATAAAACATCAAAAAAACAAACCAGGCACTATGTATGGAATTTAACTTGCCGTGAAAAAGAAAATCCACATAATATTTCTAGGGAAAATTGTATGAATGAACTTCTAATCTAAACCCAGTGTTCCCCACAATACTGACTCCACACTTGGGATATACCTACATACATCTAGCACTGACTGAAGACATCCTATCTAATCCCTGAAAAAAATAGGGAACTTGGTTTTGGATGAACTTAAAATCCCTTGGAAGACTACTTCAAGTGTAATGAAGTACCATAAGCTGAAACATTAATATAGAACAGTATAATTTTTTCCTCATTACCTTCTGGTGGTAATTATGGAAAAAAAATCAAACATAATATATGGGATCTCAATTCTGGAAATGCTTAATCACGATAAGTACAGGATCCATTCCTCAGTACATCCATCTTAAAATCTCTTTAAAAAGAACATATAAAAATCCCACTAGGAATTTATTTTTACTTTTATCTATGCATTTTACATACATATATATATATATATATATATATATATGAATCAACAATAAAAAGAAAACAAGCAACTAGAAGCAAGACTTTTTGTTTCATAAAATTTAATTTTCCTTTCAAAATGTATTTTAAAATGGTGATAAACTTCTAACAATAAAGTGCATTTTGTAAATACATAACCTATATTTCCATTCATGTATGTAAGCAGCAAATGGTTTCTATATTATTAATTTGCAAAGTATTTGTGTCGTTCTCTTGCACAAACATGAGAAGTTGGTATGTCCTCATGTGCTTTAAGTAATTTGGATATACTCTTTAATATCTCTCTTTATTGAGAGAAATCTTAGCATTCAAGTCCAAAAGAATCTTTCAGTTACAGCTACTGAGGCTCTCAGTTACTACTTCCATGGTCCCATAGGTAGAGCAATTCTTCTGCTGCTTAGTCACAGAAGTACTTTCTCGCATACAAAAGCGGTCAGGAACTTTTAGGAAATACAACAGGATTCAAAGAAATATTTCATAAATATTAAACCACTAAACCAATTCAGCTAACCTAAGATATACTTCATAAACAGGACAATCCTGGTTTTATGTGGAACACCAAACCACAGTAACAAGTACCAAGCTTTATAGCAGATATACCCTAACAAAAGAAACAACTTTTACCTAAGTCTCTGTACTTGTTTTGGGTGTGGTAGAGTTAATTTCCTTCACAGTGATTAATACAGGCTTGTGTGTTTGATTCGTGCTGAATACAGGGTGGATAACACAGGGATGTTTTGTTATTGCTCAGCAGGTCTTACACAGAACCAAGGCCTTTTCTGCTGCTTGTACTGCCACACTGGTGAGGAAGTTGAGGGGGCATGGGAGGCTGGGAAGAGACACAGCTGGGACACGTGACCCCAACTAGGCAAAGGGATATTCCAGGCTGCATGGCATCCTGCTCAACACATAAAGCTAGAGGAAGAAGGAAGAGAGGGATGTTCAGAGTGATGGCATTTGTAATCCCAAGTCGGTCACACAATGGGGCCCTGCTTTCCTGGAAATGGCTGAACACCTGCCTGCCCATGTGAAGGAATGAATTAGTTCTTTATTTTGCTTTGCTGTTGTGCACAACTTTTGCTTTCCCTGTTTTACTGTCTTTACCTTAATCCATTCATTTTCTTACTTTTACTCTTCCAGTTCCCTTCCCGATCCTTCTGATGGGGGACCGAACAAGTGCCTGCCTGGGGCTTGGCTGCTGGCTCAGTTAAAACCACAGTAGTCTCTCATCCTACTTAAAACACATACTCATCTCTTCTTTTTGTCTGTTATCTTTGCCTATAAGACAAAAGCAGCAACTCTCAAGGATGGGAGTCTAGAAGGATTGTGAACTGGAATACAAGGAACAAGCCCTGGAACCAAAGCAATATGAAAGTCCCTGAAGTGTACATTTTGCAGAAGGACATAAGAAATGGCTGCACAATGGCTGCACAGTTCTGTTATTTTTATAGCAATCTGGGGAAGGAGAAACTGTGGGTGAGAAACAGATGGTTATCTCATTGCACCTACAGCACTTGGGTGGTGTTTCAGTGTGGGAATATATGCATGCCTGTGTGGTACCAAACAGGAGTCAGCCACCACTGCAGAAAGAGAGAAGAGTGCTCTGAAATGGAAATGCTTGAGAAATTGCCAAAGCAATTTAGTCTTCATGCAGGTTTCAATGAATTACAGAGGAATCCTTTTTCTTCAAACAGCATACACAAAGCCACATCTCCTCATTAACTGAATGGTGTCAAAAAGACAGAAAAAAAAAGGACTAGGATTTGTAATATCAGCACGTGAACAAATCCAGTTCTGTAGAGATGCAGTGGAACATACCACAGTAAATTGGATATTTTATTGCTTTGAGGCAGAAACAAATATGTAATTTATGTGCATTTGTGTGTATAGACATAAAACATACAAATATCAAAAGAAAAGCATGAACCACTATCTCTTTTAAAGAGTCCATTTTTTAATTAAATTTTGAAACAAGCATGGAGGTTGTAGAAAATAATGCAGCATAAGCAATTTTTTATCTAATGTAGCAGTTGAGGAGAAAACCCTTGGTCTCAAAATAATTTCTGCCTCTTTTGAAGTAACTTGAAAAGTTTCCTTTTTATCTCAAGAAAAACTAATAAAAGAGTAATTTATTGGTAGTATGGGTTTATGGGGCAACAAAAGTACAATGTTGAAGAAAAATACATTTATGTTTGTCTGGAGCATTTGTTTAATAAGCAAAAGGGGAGGTGTGGTTTGTGTTCTTATTTTAAAACATTTCCATCCTTGTCTTTTTTCATAGACTTACTCTTACGACTATGAAAATATGGTGAATTAACAGTGCTCACCTTTTAAAAATATTTGCATGTGTTCAAAAGCCTGCTATCCATGCCACCAGTTTTCCAACACATAAGACTGCGGCACATAGAAAGCAGATTTCATTTTGATAGCAGTATTTGGAAGTACAAAGTGGACAAGGACAAAGGACCAAACATGAGAAGCAAACACATTCCTTCCTTTTTAATCAATATCTTGTTAGACTGGTGGGTTTCACTCATTAATCTTTTGATAAGAGAAAAATGAAATGGATTTACCATTACAGAAAAATAAAATTGCAAATTAAATTCATTCTAATGAAATTGCTTACCAAGAGTGCTACTTCATCACACACACAGCTTCTGTCAAAAGAGTTTGAACTTCAGAGTATTCATTTCTTTGAGGCAATGTATTTATTGGCAAATTCTGAATCCAAAAGACCTGAAAACAAACTTTCTAAATTCTTCCTCTCACACTGTGTGTATTTTTAAAATCATGCAAGTTCCACCTAAAAATACTGTATTTTGTGTTTAATACCTTCACACAAACCTGAAACTGAACTTCATGTGACTACTGTTCTGCACCTAAATGTTCATTACATTATAGCTGAGCTGGCACATTAAAAAAAAAGCCAAAAAAATAAAATGCCTGGAGGTTTGCAATGCATTGTTTGTAATTTCTTCAGTAACAGTTGCATATTGATTGATCTAGTATTGTACAACAGAGGAAATTAGCAATTAAAGGCTTCCATGCATCCAGCATGAGATCCTACAAAATCCTATTATCCACAGGAGCAAAATAAAAAGAAGAGGAATCAACAAAGCTAAAAAGTGCTTTTTGTAAGCTGTGCAGAATTTGTCGTTTGCTGAAAAACATGAAAACTGTGCACAGTTTCCACATAAAAGAATATTTAATGTAGGATTATAACTCAATTAAGGCAACTGTTTCTCTGATCCTATAATTCTAAGGCATTTTGCAGATGGCTATGAATCCCAGGCTGTAATACAAATTTCTTTCTGTTCTCTATAATATAAACTCATATACTATTTAATCTTCTGCCTAGGAAAACAAACTTCACACTGTAGGACAAAAGATACACTGCTGCTCGAGATGAATTTAAAATAAGGTAAATTAAATTAACGCATACAACATTAAATGTGAACACCATCCAGATACATAAATATGATATTAACAATGAAGCTTAACTGACACCCATGTTTCCCCAAGGAATTATTGACCATGTCCCAGGGCACAAGGAAGGAAGATTACCAGTCCAGCAGCATCACACACAAGGCTGCGCACACAAATTGCACAAGACTGCAACTTCAGACTCCAAGTTAGCCTGGAGATTGGTGTGTTACAGGAATAAACATGCCCTTTCTCTGTTCCAATGTGAACAAAAGTGCATCTACTCTATCATTAATCATATGAGACTGGTTTGCTTCAGATTTGTCAAAACTAATTCAGCTTTGCTGAATTTAGTGACAGATACCAGATTTATCTAGACTGGGAGAATAGGAAAAGGTTACATAAGCTTTACTTGCATAGCCAGACAAATTATATTGTTTCTCCATGCCTAAACAAAAGGTCACTAACTTCTTAGCTAATCTCTGACCTAATTTTGACCTCTCTTATTAATTGCAGAAAAGCTTTCAGAAAAATATTGGTTAGCTGTGCTTACACATCCCCTCATCCTGCCCCCACCCCACTTCTGTAGCATCTTGTCTTACAGATCATAAATTAAAGACAAAATATCTTTTTCTAAGACTAATTAGTACCCAATTAGCTTAATGTTGTTACCTAGAGGGGAACTGACAGTAAAGACAAACATTAAGCATTTTAATCTCTTAAATGCAGGAAGCATTTATGTAGAAGAAAGGATTATCAGAAGCTTTACTTCACTTTACTTTTCCCTCCAGATCATAAAATATTATTTCAGAAAGCCTGTTAAAATACCTAATTTTTCTGCTTCTAGTAATTCCCATTAGAAAGAAGTACATTTATATCACTGTAAGAAGTGAAAAACGAAACACATGAAGCCTAGAGGATCTATAATTATGCTAATTGGTTGTAACCACAGACATAATCATATGTTATCGCATCACACTTCTTACAGAGCAGTTTACACTGGGCTTGTTTAATTCCTTTAGTAGCACAATCATTGTATGTCAGAGTATGGCTATGATGAATTTATATCCACAAGATCTCCCCATCTGAGGAAGACTAATTTTTACCCAAGTAAAAGCAAAGCACCCGAGTTACAATTCCAAAAATCACTTTTTCTACTTTTCTTTTTGTAAGTCAGAATTGTTCCGTTTCTTGTAAAAATATATGCATACTTAATTTACAAATTTAAAAATTAAGTCTGAGAGAAACTAAGTGCAACTGCATTGTAAAATATATATAAATTTACAAAAAGAAATTCTAATAATAGAAGAAATAAAAATCTCAAAGTTAGAAAGAACCCAAATAACATGCCTTATGTTCATCTGAACTAAAGAATATCAGGAATTATGGTTTCAAAGTCTACTGTAGTTAGAAACTGAAGTTAAAAGCTCTGTAGTAATTCAACATAATTCTAACTGCTGAAGCCTTACTATTCCATCACATCCATATTCATATTTCTTGTCTCTTTGTACAGGTAAAAGCCTCTCAAAAATAAATTCATCCAGTCATACTGAGGACCATATCAGACACCCACGTGATAATGTAAGTCTAAATTATGTTCCGTTTTCTTCCTCTTCTCTACAGAAAATGAGAATGCTCCTCCTCCATCTGAACCAAGACACCTGGCTTACTGCATAAATGAAAAAGCTTGTCCATTACTGTTTGTTACATTGGTAGATAAGCTCTTGTCTAAAAACGGCCTAAAAATTGTTTTATTGGAGTATAGTAAACTATACTCTAATAAGTTTGGATCAAATCCAGATTCATATTCATTTGCAAGCTGCAAATAAATTCCACTGCACAGTCAGTACAGTTTTCTTATATTTTAACATTATTCACCAGAAGCTCCATTCTTCTGAGTTTGCGTTTATTCTTTGGCATAGGCTTGTCATATAAGCCATTTTTGAGAAGATGTTCCTTGCTGTGATGGATCTGGGCACCATGCTGAAGCTGGAAAGAGCATAAAGCTTGAAGCGGATGGAGTATAATCTGCAGAAACAAGAAGGGGTGGGGGACAAAAGAATTTAAGGCTTTTAGTAAGGTATTTTAGAGACATCAATTATTATCCTTTTTCTTAGTCAATGACTACTTTAAAATGCTAATAAAATACAATTTGGATGATAAATGTCATTAAAATATACCCTTTGGAGACATGAAAGGCGGACCTGAATAGAAGATGTACTGAAAAGAACCACAGAGCAGTCATACAACACCTCCGTAGTGCCATCCCTCACTCCTTCCTTTGGAACCACTCAATCTTGACTTCAGCCCCAGCCACATTACTGTAAGTTATGGCTTTGACTTGACCTCTGCAATGGACTACAATCAATTACTGTGGCTTGGTCAACAAATCACAATAACTAAGCTGTCAAGTGCTTGCACAAAAATCCCTTGAGGCAGGGTTTTAGGAAGAGAGGAGGGGCTCATGATCAAGGCAGCTGGACTGCAATCCTGGAGACTCAACTGTGTCCATGCTTCTGCCCAGAGATATTGTGTAGGATTAATGAAGCCATACAAACCAAATTTATCTCAAGTGGTTCCTAATTGTAGACTCTGCATTTGCTGGTTGCCTGGCTAAATCAGGGGGGCCCCATGTGCAGATGTGTAAAGCAATCGTATGTGTAACTGCAGTCAGCAGAACCTGAGATTCTACTGAGAAAAATATTACTCTTAAGGGCACACAGGAAAATCAAGTGACATACTGGGTATCAAACCAAGTGCACATTTTTAATTTCCATGGCTCTCAACTTCAGTTCACTATCTCATATGCTGGGAATAGCACTCAGTTCAGAGATGGTATAAAAAATGCATGAATGTAATGTTTCTCTCTGCAATGCTTAGAGAAAACAGAAATTTTGTCTTTGAGAAGTAGGCTGACCCAATTCTCAGTAGTAAGGGTGAGTCCAAATATAGGCCTATATTCATATGAATATAGAACTATAGACATTAACTAAGCATTCACTGTAAGACAGAAGTCCTAGTGAAGGAAAAATATGTTGTCCTAGCATAGCAAAGGAAAAAGTAAGTATAAAACCCCACATATATACACAAGTTTCTTGAAAACCATCTTTACTTTGAGTTCCAATTTCTGAACCTTATTTACTTGTGTGTCCATACATTTTGTCCAAGTCTGGGTTTTATATCCAATAATTTAATATTAAGGTGAGTCTAGTGTCACAGAGGCAGACACAGAGGTGGCATACTATATATTATGCCAGTTGCAGGAGCAATTTTTGACCTGGGCATCTTTTTTAGTAGGCAGATGTTGAGTACAAAAATATTAGGTAGCTGATGGAGAGCAGTATGAGCGCTTCAGGGTGAAGGCTAGCACGTAGGGGGTACATGGATGAGCTTAAAACTTTTTTCACAGATCATTCACTACTAAATTCTGGACACACAATTGAATTGCAGACTTGGCTCTGTGGTGTAAAAGTACTTGTAGGTGTTTTTCAGAGGGCTTATTAAATTGATATTGCTAATATCAGCAACAAAAGATTAAAAAGGATATTTTCTTAATGACCTCTTCCATCACAGACTAGTGAGATCACAATATACAAGGAAAGGCTAATGTCCAATTAGTATTCTCTGACCTGGGATAAACTTAAACTCAAGAACTATTAAGTCTCAAATTCCTCCAGTGACATGTAAGAGTTGTGAGCTGGCTGGTAGGCAGACATAACCCAGTGGGTTACATTCCATGGCTGAGGAGTGCAGGATATCAGAGGACCTGGCTTTAAAAAGCATTTAATCTTCAAGACAGCTGTGAGAGGGTAGTCAGATCATCTCTGCTGTCTAGTTTTTGGAGAAAACAATTTATTTCTTTCCATGCAGTAACCTACTTTATTTCCTGTCACAAAATGAATTAGGTTTTTCAGAGTTAAAGATCACTTTGTTGTGTTCGCTTTTGGAGCACAACATGAAAGAGTCACAGTACTTTGAACAATCTAAAGCTAATAAATGAAAAATGGTATCCATTGCTGCATTCTTGTTTTAGTTTGCTATTCAACAAAACTATTACAAATGTCATTAAGATTTTAACTATTAAGTTTTACATTAATAGCTAAGTACCTTTGCTGCCCTTCTACCATACATAAAAGAAAAACTCAGGTATTTAAGTTTACATACCTCTTGTATACTCTTATTTTTTTCCATGATGGAAAGAGCAACAGCTGCACATTCAAGAGTAGAGAGACAGGTGTTTGTTGGTTGTGTACGAATTACATATTGACTTGAAATACTGGGTTTTAACTGCACCTGAAAAATAGCAAACTCTAGTAAAATAAACGGGCAGGACAATGGGTAACATGGTATAACTATTTTAAGAAAAGGAAATTTAATTTAACCAACAGCTCCAAAAGCTTTTACCAGCTTTTTAAACAGTGGTTGAAACAACACAGAATTTATACTATTTGACTCTGTGTGAAAATTCAGATATTATTCCTTTATTCCTAAGATTTCCATCTCCACATATATCTAAAATGCAATTTGCAGAACCAATAATGTTTTAGCAACATTGTCAGTATTCTTCACCAAAAATTTTCAGTTCTTTTCCCAACAACATTGTAGTGCAATACAAAAAACCCAGACACATCCTTATAAAAGAGTAAATTAATTTTCTTTTTTTTTAACTCATACCATCAACTGTCTTTTATTTTTCTTCTTGAAAAAATGATTAAGCGATCCCCATGGCCATAATATTGCTCCCATTTTGCCTCCCAGAAGTCTTTTATAATTTCTCACTTTATTCAATCCTTTCCTCCTTCACTTTTCTCATTTTTCCTTTTATTTGAAATATTTCATTTTCCTTCATCTCTCTTACAAGCCATTACCCATTCCTTAAAGTTCAAGATATCCCATTCATAAAAGGAAAACTCCAGACTGCTGAAGATTTCACCTTACTCATTTAATTACATAAATGAGTAAGATGAAATTCCAATGCTTCACCTATCCCAATTTAATGGAAATTTAAAATAGTAAAATCAAAAAAAGGAAACAAGAAAAGAGCAAAAGACATTCTGGAAAGGACAAGTAAGTTAGCTATAAAAACTTAACTTATGCAAATATAGGAAAATTCAGAAAAATAAAGCCTTTCTCACCTACCTTCTTCAATGTGGTATGGAAAAACAAAAGAGAATAAAATTACTTACAAGGGAAAAAATAGAATTTAGACATCAGTGTAGGTAATGAAAAGAAAAATAAGATAACATTTTCATTTGTTACTTCTCAAGGTTTGCTTTTGTTTTATGCCTTCTCTCCATGACCACGTAGAGATCTTCACCACAACAGAGTAGGAAGCCTAGTTATTTGAAGCACACAGAAAACTATGCGGGAAGAAGTGGTCCCTACTTAGAAACTTCTACCTAGGTATCAAAAAACAGTATGAACTCAGTCCATCATTTCTCCAACACATGTCCTGAGCAGCAAAGCAGACATATATTCACACTTTTTCTCAACAGCTGACAGCTACATTCCTCATGGAGTATCTCTTCAGAAGCTAAAAACACCTGCTGGAGCACCTGCAGACCCACTGGCTTCCCCCTCCTTAGATAGCGCCTTGAGGCTTTTTTTCCTAGAATTTAGGAATAGTTCTGCCTGATCGCATCTATACTTCATTCCTTGGGTCTCACGCTCAAAAACATTTGAAATAATCTACATTCCAGAGAAAGAAAACCTATCAATGACTGCAAGACAATTTCTATAAAGAAAAGGGACCTGCATACTGCCACACAACCATGGAGCCAAAATTTAACTGCAGCCGTGAACTGCAGCTCTCAAACATCTGACAAGGCACAAAAGTGCCACTTTCCAGTACTAACAGCAACAGCAACCAAGTTTCTTCTTTCAAAAGAAGAAAGAGAAAGGATGGAAACAAGTGTTCCCATCCATTTTTCTGAAAAATTACATATTCCCTGGGATAAGATTAAAATACCATAGAGAGTGGTGGACATCAGAGGAAGAATACCTGATCAAGAAAACTGCCAGCTACAGTTTGTCTCTTTGGCTTCTTTCAGCATGCATTTTATCCTACTCTTTAAAGCAGCACAATCTAAATAAAAGATCCCTAGTCACCCGAAATACAGTCAGGGTAGTCTTTGTCCACTGCAAATTGGACAGACTCACCAAAGCTCCCATCTGAAACTAGGTACATTTACTGAACCAATAAAAAAACAATACTCTACCCACTCAGAGCATAAACTGGATGATAAAACAAAGCAGAAGCAATACAGAAACCAAAAAAAATTAGTATAGTTACTAAAGATTTCAGACACAGGAAGATATCTTCTTGGAAAAAAAATGCCTGGACAAATGAAACATTTACTTGTCCTCAGACTTGACTGGGTAGGAAGATCACTTATTTAAGTTTTCACCAAGAGGTCTAAATTTGTATTGTCTTTTGTGCAGTTAATAATTTCAGATACCATATTGCAACGATCTCATCCAAGTTCCTGTATTACTTATGTGCACTAATTCTTTATCTGTCACCTGTGTATCTGAAATCCAGCTGAACAAATTTAGTTAAAATTTACAGAAATATTCATACAGTTAATTTAAACAAAATCACACTATCTCTTACACCAGACTTCAAAATCTCAGTTCAAATATCCTGTTTAAGTTATTTCAAAATAACAATTATGATATTTTAGAAGCACTTCTCCATAAAATGATAGATACCACAATACAACAACTTGTTAGTTTTTGCTTCAAAGTAATTTCAAAATCATATGCACACTTTGAATATCAATTTCTAACAAAATACAGAAATGACAAGTTGAAAAAACAGCAGCCAGTTTAATATTGCTCACCAAAATAACAAGAAAGAAGATGGCAACTATCTCAACCAACTCAAACTAGAGAGGAATTTAGATAATCTGAATGCAATTACTCACTGGAATTCATCCAAGACACTGAAATTAGTGTATCTATTCTCTCTAAGTGCAAAGGAGTCTCTGGGGATTTAATTTCCAAGCCATCAGAAGTAGGAAGCAACACATAAAATAAAGTTGCATTTCTATCTGTAACTCAAGATTTCTGCTTCAAAAAGTCTGAATTTCAGCAATTCTCACAAACTATTACACTAACTTAACACTGGCTTATCTGCCAGTGCACCATTCCTGCAGCAAATGCTACAGCCTTTGAGCATTTACAAAGGATTTGAACCACAGTAAAAATTGTGACCCTTCAGTGTTACTCGGGGCAGTTTTTCTTCCTGAGCCTTCCTTGGACATGCTCCAGGCAACTGAAGACCCAGCTGATCTTGTTCAGCTGTTCAAAATTGATAGGAGGAAAAGTATTGCCTTGATGGGGTCAAAGACCTACTGTTTAAAATCTTAAAAATTTTTAAGTCAGTAAAGACAGGAAACTGATTTCTGCTTTTATTTTAAATAACAGAACTGGAGGTCTAGCAGAAAGCTCTAAGTCCTCTCCTTAATATCAGTATCTTTCTACCTTTTCTATGTTAATTTCTTCATCACTGCTCTTACAAGATTTACTCTCACCATTTTTACTTGCTAAAGAAAACACAACTTTATGCAAAATTATACTTGGAAAATAATGCATCACAAAGAATTCAAAAAAGTTAGTCCATCTGTCTCACAGAGCACACTAAATAATTCTTCCTGTTCTACAGGCATCTCAAAAAAGGCAGAGGCATAATATACTTTTCTGTGGCTTCTATAAAAAACTTAATACTTAAGATCCCTTCCTCTCAATGTTGATAGTGTCTTTTGAAAATCAGAATGTCAGCTTGGGAATAATTTGCTTAACTTTTCAAGAATGAAGGAAGAAATTACCATCTGTCCTCCTACTTAAAACAGGCACTAGTTACTGGTCATGTGTTCTCCAACTTTAATAAATACCTTTCCAGAAAAAAAATTAGCCATTTGTTTAACTCAAAAGGCACAAAAAAAAAAATCTCAGCAGGAGTACAACCTCATCCTGCTATGTTGCCCATCCTTCTAGAAGCTAAGAAAAAAATTGCTTTTAAGGTGCTTAAGGTAGTAAGAGCATTCTCTGGAAGCTACTGTAAAAACAACCTCAGACAGAAGATCAGTGACAGGCAGGGGAAGATCTTTCACTCAGTATCCAGTTTGCACAAGCACCTTTTACCTGTAAGCCAAAATAGTTTTCTGTATCTTATAGAAATTTCATGCAGTGAAGTAAAATTACTACCTTGATGCCAGAAAAGACAGGCTGAGTAAATTTAGTCTCAGCATGCTACTGAAATTTAAATCAAGAATATAAATAAATTATCTTGTTCAAAACCTTGGCTTTAATTTAAAGTGACATCTTAAGAGCACTTTCTTTTTAAAATACTGGAGGGAATAACTGCCATGCAACTGTCACAAGTGGACAGCCTGAAAAAGTAGATAGCTGTCACAAAACCTTTGATCCGTGATGGCATGACTTTAAAGACTTTGATGACTGGAAAAAGAGAAACAGAAACCACATTTTTGAAAAAATGGAAAGCAGAATATCTAGAGATCTACAGAGAAGTCTCATCAGCCAGGCAAGATTATGTAGCAGATTCTCCTGGATAACATGCTAAAGCAGAGGGAAAACAAAGAGGTGAATGGAAAAAGCCAGCATGGCTTTACAGAGGGGAAATCTCACCTTCTGTAATGGAGCTACTGGTGGATAAGGGCAGAGCAATTGACACTGTCTACCTGTACTTACACAAAACGTTGGACACTGTTTCACAGGATGTCCTTGTCTCTAAATTGGAGACACACAGGGTTGATGGATGGACCATTTGGTGGATAAACAGCTGCCTGGATGGCTGCATAGAGGGGGTTTTGGCAAAGAGCTCCATGTCCATATGGAGACCTGTGGCCAGCAGTGTTCCCCAGGGTCAGTACTGAGGCTTGTACTGTTCAACACCTTTGCTGGTGACAGGGACAGTGGCATCGAGAGCACCTGCAGCAAGCTCCCTGTTGACACCACGCTGTGTGGGGCAGGGACATGCCAGAGGCAAGGGATGCCAGCCAGAGGGATCTTGGACAGGCTTGAAAAGTGGGACTGTGTGCACATCAAGAACTTCAACAAAGTACAAGTGCAAGGCCCTACACCCAGGTCATGGCAATCCCTGACACACCCACAGGTTGGGCAGAGAAGTGACTGAGAGCAGCCCTGTGGGGCAGGACTTGGCGGGGATGGCTGATGGAAAATGAGCCAGCAGCATGAGCTCACAGCCCACAAAGCCAGACGTGTCCTGGGCTGCACCAAAAGCAGCGTGGCCAGCAGGGTGAGGGAGGGGA